CAGTGAGCTGTGAGACAGCAGTTTACTGTGAGACAGCAGTGAGCTGTGAGACAGCAGTTTACTGTGAGACAGCAGTGAGGTGTGAGACAGCAGTTTACTGTGGGACAGCAGTGAGCTGTGAGACAGCAGTTTTATTGTGAGAAAGCAGTGAAGTGTGAGACAGCAGTTTGCTGTGAGACAGCAGTTTACTGTGGGACAGCAGTGAGCTGTGAGACAGCAGTGAACTGTGAGACAGTAGTGAGTTGTGAGACAGCCGTTTACTGTGAGACAGCAGTGAACTGTGAGACAAAAGTTTTCCATGAGACAGCAATGAGCTGTGAGACAGCAGTGAACTGTGAGACAGGAGTTTTCCATGAGACAGCAATGAGCTGTGAGACAGCAGTGAGGTGTGAGACTGCAGTTTGCTGAGAGACAGCAGGTTACCATGAGACAGTGGTTTAGTGTGGAACAGCAGTGAACTGTGAGACAGAAGTTTTCCATGAGACAGCAATGAGCTGTGAGACAGCAGTGAACTGTGAGACAGAAGTTTTCCATGAGACAGCAATGAGCTGTGAGACAGCAGTGAGGTGTCAGACTGCAGTTTGCTGAGAGACAGCAGGTTACCATGAGACAGTGGTTTAGTGTTGAACAGCAGTGAGCTGTGAGACAGCAGTTTACTGTGGGACAGCAGTGAGGTGTGAGACAGCAGTTTATTGTGAGACAGCAGTGAGCTGGGAGACTGCAGTTTGCTGTGAGACAGCAGTGAGGTGTGATACAGCAGTTTACTGTGGGACAGCAGTGAGCTGTGAGACAGCAATTTACTGTGAGACAGCAGTGAGGTGTGAGACAGCAGTTTACTGTGGGACAGCAGTGAGCTGTGAGACAGCAGTTTTATTGTGAGAAAGCAGTGAAGTGTGAGACAGCAGTTTGCTGTGAGACAGCAGTTTACTGTGGGACAGCAGTGAGCTGTGAGACAGCAGTTTTATTGTGAGAAAGCAGTGAAGTGTGAGACAGCAGTTTGCTGTGAGACAGCAGTTTACTGTGAGACAGCAGTGAGCTCTGAGACAGCAGTGAGCTGTGAGACAGCAGTTTACTGTGAGACAGCAGTGAGCTGTGAGACAGCAGTTTACTGTGAGACAGCAGTGAGGTGTGAGACAGCAGTTTACTGTGGGACAGCAGTGAGCTGTGAGACAGCAGTTTCATTGTGAGAAAGCAGTGAAGTGTGAGACAGCAGTTTGCTGTGAGACAGCAGTTTACTGTGGGACAGCAGTGAGCTGTGAGACAGCAGTGAACTGTGAGACAGTAGTGAGTTGTGAGACAGCCGTTTACTGTGAGACAGCAGTGAACTGTGAGACAAAAGTTTTCCATGAGACAGCAATGAGCTGTGAGACAGCAGTGAACTGTGAGACAGGAGTTTTCCATGAGACAGCAATGAGCTGTGAGACAGCAGTGAGGTGTGAGACTGCAGTTTGCTGAGAGACAGCAGGTTACCATGAGACAGTGGTTTAGTGTGGAACAGCAGTGAGCTGTGAGACAGCAGTTTACTGTGAGACAGAAGTTTTCCATGAGACAGCAATGAGCTGTGAGACAGCAGTGAGGTGTCAGACTGCAGTTTGCTGAGAGACAGCAGGTTACCATGAGACAGTGGTTTAGTGTGGAACAGCAGTGAGCTGTGAGACAGCAGTGAACTGTGAGACAGAAGTTTTCCATGAGACAGCAATGAGCTGTGAGACAGCAGTGAGGTGTCAGACTGCAGTTTGCTGAGAGACAGCAGGTTACCATGAGACAGTGGTTTAGTGTTGAACAGCAGTGAGCTGTGAGACAGCAGTTTACTGTGGGACAGCAGTGAGGTGTGAGACAGCAGTTTATTGTGAGACAGCAGTGAGCTGGGAGACTGCAGTTTGCTGTGAGACAGCAGTGAGGTGTGATACAGCAGTTTACTGTGGGACAGCAGTGAGCTGTGAGACAGCAATTTACTGTGAGACAGCAGTGAGGTGTGAGACAGCAGTTTACTGTGGGACAGCAGTGAGCTGTGAGACAGCAGTTTTATTGTGAGAAAGCAGTGAAGTGTGAGACAGCAGTTTGCTGTGAGACAGCAGTTTACTGTGGGACAGCAGTGAGCTGTGAGACAGCAGTTTTATTGTGAGAAAGCAGTGAAGTGTGAGACAGCAGTTTGCTGTGAGACAGCAGTTTACTGTGAGACAGCAGTGAGCTCTGAGACAGCAGTGAGCTGTGAGACAGCAGTTTACTGTGAGACAGCAGTGAGCTGTGAGACAGCAGTTTACTGTGAGACAGCAGTGAGGTGTGAGACAGCAGTTTACTGTGGGACAGCAGTGAGCTGTGAGACAGCAGTTTCATTGTGAGAAAGCAGTGAAGTGTGAGACAGCAGTTTGCTGTGAGACAGCAGTTTACTGTGGGACAGCAGTGAGCTGTGAGACAGTACTTTAGTGTGAAACAGCAGTGAAATGTGAGACAGTAGTGAGTTGTGAGACAGCAGTTTACTGTGAGACAGCAGTGAACTGTGAGACAGAAGTTTTCCATGAGACAGCAATGAGCTGTGAGACAGCAGTGAACTGTGAGACAGAAGTTTTCCATGAGACAGCAGGTTACCATGAGACAGTGGTTTAGTGTGGAACAGCAGTGAGCTGCGAGACAGCAGTTTACTGTGGGACAGCAGTGAGGTGTTAGACAGCAGTTTATTGTGAGACAGCAGTGAGCTGGAAGACTGCAGTTTGCTGTGAGACAGCAGTGAGGTGTGAGACAGCAGTTTACTGTGGGACAGCAGTGAGGTGTGAGACAGCAGTTTACTGTGAGACAGCAGTGAGCTCTGAGACAGCAGTGAGCTGTGAGACAGCAGTTTACTGTGGGACAGCAGTGAGGTGTGAGACAGCAGTTTACTGTGAGACAGCAGTGAGCTCTGAGACAGCATTGAGGTGTGAGACAGCAGTTTACTGTGGGACAGCAGTGAGCTGTGAGACAGTACTTTAGTGTGAAACAGCAGTGAACTGTGAGACAGTAGTTTTCCATGAGACAGCAATGAGCTGTGAGACAGCAGTGAGGTGTGAGACAGCAGTTTACTGTCGGACAGCAGTGAGCTGTGAGACAGCAGTTTATTGTGAGACAGCAGTTTACTGTGGAACAGCAGTAAGCTGTGAGACAGCAGTTTAGTGTGAGACAGCAGTGAACTGTGAGACAGCTGTTTACTGAGACAGCAGTGAGCCGTGAGACAGCAGTTTACTGTGAGACAGCAGTGAGGTGTGAGACAGCAGTTTACTGTTGGACAGCAGTGAGCTGTGACACAGCAGTTTTATTGTGAGAAAGCAGAGAAGTGTGAGACAGCAGTTTGCTGTGAGACAGCAGTTTAATGTGGGACAGCAGTGAGCTGTGAGACAGGAGTTTACCGGAGACAGCAGTGAGTTGTGAGACAGCAGTTTACTGTGAGACAGCAGTGAGCTGTGAGACAGGAGTTTACCGGAGACAGCAGTGAGTTGTGAGACAGGAGTTTACCATGAGATAGCAGTGAGCTTTGAGACAGCAGTTTACTGTGAGACAGCTTTGAGCTGTGAGACAGAAGTTTAGTGTGAGACAGCAGTGAGGTGTGACGCAGCAGTGAGGTGTGAGACAGCAGTTTAATGTGAGACAGCAGTTTACTGTGGGACAGCAGTGAGTTTTGAGACAGCAGTGATTTGTGGGACAGCAGTTTTATGGCGTTTAAAGCGTGCCACAACCCGTGCATGCGCATTGGGTCCACAGCGCGCGTGTGAACGGGACTCGCGAGCGCAAATATACATGGCGAGAGGTCATTTGTGCACTGAGAGGGAGCAAACTGTGTCTGTGTCTTAATTCACGTGGCTCTGATGCTCATTAATCATTCTCCATGGACTATGATGTTTGCAGATGACATAGTGATGTGCACTGGGAGACGGGTGGAGATAGAGTAGAAGCTAAAGAGGTGGAGATATGGACCAGATAAGAGAGAAACAAAGACAGGAGCCATGTGTGTAAATGACAGGGACACAAGTGGAACGGTGATGTTAGGAAGTAGAAGTAAAGGAGGTAGAGGACTTTAAGGACTTTGGGTCCAAAGCTACGGAGAGGGTGGTGAAGCTGGTTGGAATGGGTGGAGAAACGTGTCCGGTGTGATGTGCGATAAAAGGGTTTCAGGTGTGGAAGATAGTAGTGAGAGCAGCCACATTGTCTGCTTTAGAGACAGCGTCCATGAAGACAAGACAGGAGGACAAAACTGGAGGTTGCAGAGTTGGGAGTGAGGAGGATGGATGGGATCAAGAGGTCAACAGAGGGACAGCTCATGTTAAATGATTATGAGAGAAAGTTAGAGAGGACAGACTGAGATGGTTAGGACATGTCCAAATGAGAGACAATGCTGACATAGGTAGAAGGATGCTGAGGTTGGAGCCACCAGGCAGGAGGCTGAGGAGAGGACCAACAAGGAGATTTATGGATGTGGTGAAAGAGGACATGAAGGTAGTTGGTGTGAGGGTAGAGGAGGAAGAAGATGGGACTAAATGGACCCCTGAAGGGACACGTTTTAAGAAAAGAAGACAAAGTAGTTCAGAAGGAACTATGACCCTCTTCTCTGCATTGACTTTAAAATTCTCCTAACACGATAAATGATAAGTGACCTGTGAGTCAGTGCAGTCATTCAGACTGTGGTTGTGTTGAGATACATCATCCCTGGGACACTGACGTAGGGCTGCCGTCCAAAGGTACCACCACCACCAGGTAAAGAGGGATTGGGGTTCAAACCCACAACAACAGGTCCATGTTCCACAGAGTAAAACCTCCTGTGAGGACATGGGGTCTCAGGGGATGTAATAGCTTTTTCTTTGTTTACTGTAATATTTTGTACATTTTTTGTGTTTGTTTTTTATCTGGACTATATGTTTTGCCTGTTTTCATCAGTTTTTTGGGAATTGAAAAGAATTAAAGATTACCTTTCAACCTGCACACATTTTAATCTTGCAGTTGGACTAATATACTTCTCTTTGTTTTATGTGAAGGTGAAAGCTGCCTCAAAGTATATGGATGTACCTGTGAGTATTAAGCAGCTATTATTTCTGTTATCAAATGCTGACAGCACCCCTTGGAAGTATTGTAGGTTTAGACTTACTCCTATTTAAAAAGTAATAGATAATGCTATACCTTCTGGTACTGCAGCTTTTGTTGATCATTCCTGATTTAGGAGGTTTTTTTTTTATTCACCTTGCATGTGTGTCACAGAATATAAGAAGCTAAGAAACAACCACACACGAGAAAACAGGAAGTGAAAGCTTTCACTCCTGGACCACCAACACTTTGTCGCTGCTCTCCAGTCACACTGCACTGACGTCATTTCAGGACAGAATATAAAATAATGGCCCAGGACATGGGTTGCAGCCAGTGGTTTTGGAGCCATATGTGGCACTTCAGCTCACCCAGAATGATTTCACTCTCATGATGGTTTCAGCACCATCTAAATCTCAGAATGTGCATGGGACACTTGCAGCAACCCTCCCACATTGTTAAAGGGGTTAGATGGGCCCCAGGTGCTTTTTTAGTTTTTTAGGAGTGCACCACTTCACCCTTGCCAAGGGATAAACTATCAGGGTTAAATGAAAGAATGTTAAAACAAAACACACAGATTCACATCACTTAAATACCAGAATGAACTAAAATGGTTTCACTTTTCCATGAAATTAGTTAAACAAGCAATGCAATTCAATTCCATTCAGTTTATTTTAGGGATGTCCCATTCCAATATCGATCTCAGAAGTAATTCGGTATCAGCCCAAAAAACACTGTATCGGATTATATCGAACGACATCAAAAATCTCCGATACCAGCAGTCCATGAAATCCGGATTTTATTTTTATCTGATTGTACCATCTAGTGCAGGGGTCCTCAATTATAATGGTCCGAGGGCCACACATAAAAAAGGCCCAGAAGCAAGAGGGCCGGAGGGGGAATGGGGGGGGTGGGGGTGGGGGGTGCTGTTTGGATCGCTGGCTGTAATGCTCATAACACACAAGATTGCGATATAAAGAACAGCACCTGTCCCCCTCCAGCTCGGCTGTGTGACTGCACTAACCTGTCCTGTGGGACCCTCACCCTTTCACCCTCATGTCCATGCTGTCTCTGGAGGAGCAGATAGGAAACAAGACCTCCTGTAACTTAAAATGAACCAAAGCTTCCTCCCAGTTGCTCTTTAAGCTGAATTTAACATCAGTTTATCATCATGAAACAAAATAATAAAGGGGAACAAGAACTTCTATCTTCTATTTCTCTCTCCTTTTAACTTCTCCGCATCTCTAGATAAGATGATTACACTGCAGCCGCCATCACTGACCCCGCCCCCTCCCGAAGACCGGATCTCCCGACATCACAACACTCGGTCTGACTGAGCGCTTCCAGGAGAAATAATAATGAAATTATGAAAATAATAACGCGTGTTTGGAGGAGCGTCCTCCGATCCTCTCTCTTGCCCCCTCAGGCCAAAAGCGTAACGGCAGCTTCAATAGTAGGCTCGTGCACGAGGCGCGCATGCTGTACGTGCACACTCCTTAGCAAAAATAACAGCTGAGACAGTCCCTTGTGTGTGTGTGTGTGGCCCGGAGGACAGAGGACAGGAGAACGCGCAGCTAATTAATTAAATAATGTGGTTCTGTACCTTTCTCTTCAGCACAGCCGACAAAGGTTTATGATGGGTCAGTCCTCCTGCATGCTCAGATCATTCCCTTCCCTTGCTTGAAAAATTGTTCCAAAATGAAAGTTGAACCCACATCTTTTTTATCTGTGAATTCAATGCCGTTTGGCGAGTCTCAAATAAAAATTTGGGCATCTTACTGTAAAAAAAAAATACCATTAATGTAAAAAAGAAACTCTAAATGAACTATGTTCACATCCAGAATTGAACCCAGGTCTCCTGCACTAAAGTCCAACATCTAACTAGGTGAGCCAAAGCGCCAGTGACATCATCTGTATCTGTAACATTTATATCCTTGATTACAGCTGAAACAACGTTCAAAGAACGGTTTGGAGGGCGATGCCTGAGCGTGAACGCGCATGAAGCAGCCTGCTCGACCTGAGCATCTCTCTTTTTCTGTGATTTTACAGAAAAATAGGCAATCACAGTAAAAATGCCAGGGCTACAAGAATTGTCTTGTTTCAGTCCCATATGGGGTAACCAGCAATTTACACCAGGAAGAGCTGATGCCGTGTTTAAAAGCTGGTATTTACAGGGAATTAAATCAGTTATTTGCAAAATTCTGATCATTTGATGTCCTTTGAGCAGTTAAGGGCTAAATATGGAATAGAAAGGAAATATTTTTTTAAATACCTCCAGCTCAGAAGTTTTCTAAAGTCTAAGCAAAACAATGGGGACTCCAAACCCTCCATCACCATGTTGGAAGAAATGATGACAAAGGACTTCACACGAAGAGGAATAGTCTCGGACTGTTATCGGATAATCGTGGAACATCATTCAGATGGAGCGAACGATAGAAGAGCAGCATGGCAAGACGACCTCAGGCAAGACCTGAGTAAAGAGGACTGGGAGAAGGCCTGTGGAGGAGCTCATACCAAGTTCATTAATGCAAGGTTAAGATTAATTCAGCATAAATATTTAATGCGGACATATGTCACCCCAGAGAGACTGAACAAATACAATAGCAATATACCAGACACATGTGTTAAATGTGCTGTTCATAAAGGGACGTTGTATCATTGTGTTTGGGAGTGTACAGAAATCAAAAAGTTCTGGGAGGATGTAAGAATTTCTACTGAAAAAATTATCAAAAAGGAGGTACCATTGGGTGCTAAATTGTTTCTAATAGGACTTTGCCCTAATGAGTATGCTTATAGCAAGTGTCAGCGTTTCTTTTTGGATCTTAGTTTAATGGTAGCAAAAAAGTGTATAGCTATGGCATGGAAATCGCTCCATAGGCCCACTGTGAAGGATTGGATGAAACAGATGTTACAGGTGATGCCGCTGGAACGGATTACCTATATCTTAAAGGCCAAGCAACATTTATTTGACGAAATATGGACACCTTTTCTAACATATATTAAGAGGATGGACATAAAAAGCTAAGCACTTATAAAGTGGGAGAGTAGGAAAAGAATCGGTCTTCTGACCAGCATTTAGACTGTAATGGGAGAAGCAAAAGTAAGGTGTAATTCGGGGACTTCTTACTCAAAGTTTTATTAAACATGTCTATGTGAATATTGCCTTCAATACTATAAATGCACTAACGTTGGAGAGGATCGCCAGAAGCACAACCAAAATTGTTAAAATGTTCTGTTGTTCCATTAAGATTTTATACAGAATGTACTTTCAGTATACAACATAATAATGTGTGAAAGGTGTACAGTAAACTGAAAATGCAATAAAATATACTTTTTGAAAGAAAAAAATGCCAGGGCTCATTCTACAGGACCAGGGCATTGCAGGAGAATGTATGAAGAAGAGATGTATTATTTCTATACATGTTTTGGCTGTCACACTTCCATAATGTCCCTTTAAATGGAGAAAGCTTGGGTTATCAAATGTAGCATGCCAAAAAGTAAAAGAAAAGTGTGACCTACTTCTTTGGTTTTAGAAAAAGGCAAGAGAAGAACTCTTGATCTGAACAAGCCTGTGATAAGACGTCATACGGTAGCCACTCCTGCTAAATCTACATGTCCCAACCCACTTCAGCATCAGCAATGGGCCTGAGAGGCCCCACTTTGCAAAATTCATGCCCAACTCAAACACAACTAAAACTACAGACAAAAGAGCGATCAGAAATTCCACTGCCTGTCAGGGGTGGGGGGAGTGTTGTCCCCACATCTATGTCTCTGACATTGCTAAAAAATCTAACTGTACACACATTCTGTCCACCCACAGATTCTAAACATGCATCAGACAACACCCACGTTTCACAAAGGTAGAAGCCTGAGAGCTACAAATACAGAAGTTGTGTTTTCCCAGCAGATGTCTAGAAGATGTCTTACCTTTTGATGTTTCACCTTGAAAAGTTTGTTTTATCCAGACTTTCTTGTCATTTACCATGAGCTCTACCTCTTGTGTTCCACCAAAAAAGAGTTTAGATGAAAACCAAAGCCATTTTGACTGACAAAACACTTAGAACTCAGCTTCCGGTCAGACGGTTTTTTGTTTTACTGACTCTCATTGGCTGACTGAGCTGTCAATCTCAGTTTGGTGAGGAACGTGTCATTTTATCTGCCCTAAAGATTCAACAGACCTGTAAATCATCCCGATAGGTCAAACAGTCAAGGAGAAAGAAAGCTGCGTAATTTGTAGATCCATGCAGAGCCACTAGCGCCATGACGCCCAGTGTAAGAATGGCCGTGTTCAAGATGAGCCAGGGTGTTTCTCAATGTCGAGCAATTTCTTGTGAGGCCAGGAACCTTGCTTACGAGGACACTGTCCTTCCTTGGTCAAAGAAAATGTTTAAAAGGAACAGACTTGCGTCCCGTGACCGGTTGATCTACGTTCCTACCCTCACCTATGGTCACGAGCTTTGGGTAGTGACCGAAAGAACGAGATCACGGATACAAGCGGCCAAAATAAATTTTCTCCAAGGCTCTCCCTTAGAGATAGGGCAAGAAGCTCGGCCATCCGGGAGGGGCTCGGAGTAGATCCGCTTCTCCTCCACATCAAGAGGAGCCAGGTGAGATGGCTCGATCATCTGGTCAGGATGCCTCCTGGACGCCTCCCTGGTGAGGATTTCCGGGCACGTCCTACTGGGAGGAGACCTAAAGGGAGACCCAGGACACGTTGGAGGGACTATGTCTCTCACCTGGCCAGGGAACGCCTTGGGATTTCCCCGGAGGACCTGGCCCAAGTGTGGGCCTCTCGACTTACGCTGCTGCCCCTGCGACCCGACTCCGGATAAGAGGATGAGGATGGATGGATGTTTCCTTCAGTTAGAGTTTTAAAACAGGAACGTCACTATTTTCCTTTCACCTTTTTTTTTACAAGAATAATGTGTTGAAATACAGAGAAATCAACTAGTGAATAAAATGTATGTTAATATAATACGCATAGCATTTG